CTATCAAGTCTTTCTTTGGACTTCCCAAACAGGTCTACAGGGTTTGCCCCCTTGCTCTTCCTGCCATCTATAACTCCGAAGAGTTTGAACTGTCTGGCTGTTGTAATCTGAAAAAAGACAAATTGAGAGACAAATGTACATAATTATCATTATTATCCCACCGAAGGAAGTTAGATGAAGATATAGAAAGCCGTCCGTCCATCCGTCCATTCGTCCGTTTGTCCGTCTGTCCGAACAATAAATGAAATACCGGTTGCTGGATTCGGTTCAAAATTTATAGTCTAATGCCGGTGTAGAACCTCTGACCTCTTATCAATTTTCAATATGGCGACTCAATTCAAAATGCACGCCATTTTTTGTAAAAAATTAAATCTTTGATAACTCAAATTTTATATGCTGATGCCTCAGGACAATAGAGCTTTGTTGAAGAAGACATTTTGATGATGGCCACTAAATTTCAAAATGGCAGCCATTTTTCATAAAAAATTGTAATCTTTGAAAACTCAAGTACCAGTTGGCGGATTTGGTTCAAATTGATTATATGCTGGTACCTAGGAACACAGGATATCTGTTAAAGAAAGAATTTTCAAGATGGCGGCTGAATTTCAAAATGTTCGCCATTCTTTGTAACAGAACATAATCTTTGATAATTCCCATACCAGTTCATGGAATTGGTTCAAATTTTATATGTAGATGCCCAGAGACATGGGAGCTCCACTCAAGAAGACATTTTCGAGATGGCTACCAAATTTTAAAATGGCCACCATTTTTCTTAAAAAAATAATCTTTGATATCTCAATTACCAGTTGACGGATTTGGTTCAAGGGACAAAGGAGGGCTCTGCTCAAGAAGAAATTCTAAGATGGCACCTGAATTTAAAAATTGCGACCATTTTTTTGTAAAAAACATTATCTATCTGTTGATAACTCATATTCCAGTTGACGCAATTAGTTTAGAAGAAATTTTCAAGATGGCCGCTCATAAAATCATTTTTGTTCTGTGGGATTCGCTATATCGTGGAGTTTCTGTTTTCTAGTTTATTGCTAGGTTTGTAATTAGACTTGTTGATTTACAAATTACTACACATTAAGTCCGATTTACCTGAGTTTTTACTCTAATACTTTCCAATACATACTAATACCAATGTGTTAACAATACACTTACAAGTGCAAGGAGAAGACACTTCTTTCTCTGTAGTGGACCATCCACTGTGGATAGCACATTTGCCATCAATGCACTTGGGGCAACCTTCACATTCTCTGCTTTAGACAGTAACTGCAACAAAAATTCAAAAGGTGGTTAAATGACACGAGATAAACTGTTTCAATAATTATCCCATCAAAGGAAGTTCAGGGAGATATAGAGAATGGCTCCATCCTTATGCTCGTCGGTCTGTCTGGGCAAGTCCAATTTTGTTTATATTTTATAAACATATGTCCCATGGGAATTTAAATATACGAAAAGTTTCTTCTGCACTATATTATTTATAAAAACTTCTGAAAAGGTGATGGTGATTGAAATGTGGTAAGGAAAAAATCAAAAATCCCATATTATTTTCACATAGGTAAAACCCTTTGTAAAACTCATGATATCCATTGTATTTAGCAAAATTTTGGTCATTGAAAATTGATATCTTCAAAACTAGAATTTCAATTCATTCAACTAATTTTGTTAAATTTTAAATATGCCTACTAAGAAGCATATCACACTTTCTTATTACAATTTGACCAATGAGCGGTGATTTTTAAAAATGTTTAATTTGCCATTCTTGTGTTTTATTTATAGGACTTCACATGTGTATTATTTTCGATTTTTTCAGGCTTCACTCAGTAGAAACACCTAGAATTTATTTTATTTTTTTGAAGAACATTTTATTGAAATTGTTTTTACTCTCTTGCTTAGAACAGTTGTAACTCATTTAGTCATTACTGATGAGTTATCTTTATATGAAGGTGTACTATTTTAATGTTTGCCTTAACACAAAAGAGTCTATTATATAAGTTTGAAATGTTATGCATTTAAAGGAGAAGTCTCGGTTTGGAGAACAGTCTCCTGGGCTAATAATTTTTTTATGAAAAATATAGAAATATCAACCAAATTAATTTATGAATATTCAAAAGAGGACATTTAAATCTACAAGATGTAAAAACATGAAAAGTATCACAATTGTCCGAAGCATGGATAACGTTCCAATTGACCGATTCAATAAAATACAAGTCTCGATTTTGGAGAAAAAAGCTCATCGGTGTACTGCGCATATAATTTTTTATGAAAAATCTAGAAATATCACCCAAATTTAATTATGACTATTCAAAAGAAGACATTCAAATCTATATGATGTAAAAAAATAAAATTTGTCCGAAACACGGGTTACGCTCAATTAGAGTGATGAACTTCGCTCTCCAAACCGAGACTTCTCTTTTTAATGGAGATACCTTGACTTGAATAGTCTGCCTCGTGTTCCTGTAGATTGTTTGTACCCTCTGCAAGGCTGGCCTCATCACAGACGTAAAATCTACACCCCTGTTGGCACAGGCATCTCTTATCTTATTCTAAAATACAAATGGTAACATATTATAGGAATATCCTATATGGTTTTGAAAAAATATCATTTATATCCATATCCATGATTGTTATTGTTAAAAATTCATAGGATTTAATAAATGTGATAAAAATATGAGTCATGATAGTGAATAACACATAGTATTTAAGTCAATTGTACATTTTATTTTTAATTTCTAAAGAAAACTAAGATAAGACAATTATCATTTCCAATCCATAACCTCTAGTTTAGTTAATGATAAATGTTGTTCTTACGACAATCTCCGGAGTCTTTGGGTCATCGGGAGATGCTGAGAACTCCTCCCTGGCGATTCTCTTTAAGTCAATCTGTAAATATAAAGTAATAGGATATGTATTCATTGTTTTATTTGATACGGATGGTAGTGCAATAAGAGCATTGGAGTGTAATATAATTGTACTTGCATAGATAGTCGATTCCTTGCATTTTATATATATTTATTGGTTATTTCTGTATTTATATTACAACTGGTATCTATTGGCCACTTGAGTGTTTCACAAAACACAAGATAAAATGTTTACATGGTTTAGTGGTTTTGGATGAGAGAAACTATTAAAGTGACGATATATTCGTTGATGGAGATATGTGTTCTGATCTGAACTTTGAGGTCTATTAGAAGTCTATGCTTTTTAATTTTAACAAATTCTAACCTCTATGGTGTCCATGGGACTTGGCCCCATCCGGCTCTCAATTCTGGTCATCTTTTTTTCTAGCTCAACCTGCCTTCTTTGCACACTTACTAAAGTTGAAGTGATATTGTCTGTAAAGTAAAACGAGACACAAAATTGAAGTATTATTTTAACGTAAGGTATAAAGATTAAAATATCATTTATTTAGAGTTTACCTACTTTAATTACCGATATCAAATTTTTGTCTATGTGAATTTAGCATCTACTAGCAAATTGTCAAATACACACCCATTATATTTTTCAAATATTAGTCATTCATATGATCATTATTGAGCATTGCTGATGTCAAATCTTACCCAGCTTATTCATAACGTCTTTAAGGGTGACACTGTTATATTCTTCAATGTTGTCATTTATTACATCATTGAGCTCCTGGCTCTGGCTGAATAGTTCCTGAGATGACACTTGTGACATCTAAAAATATACAGTGATAATGAATAGTGAATATTTCCAAAGATATGTTTAACTGGGTACAGCATGTACAGTACATATTTTATATATTTGGAACAAAAGGACATACTACACATGTAATAGGTAGGATGATATATTAGAGATGGAATTGGAGGACATGCTACTAATGGAATAGAAGTATGAGGACATTAATGCAGATGGAATAAAGAGGGGGGGAGTAATGGGCATACTACATATGGAATAGGAATAGGATGACATATCAACCTCAGAAATATGTGGAACTGGGGAATAAGAGGACATCACATGTGGAACTTGGGAATAAGATTATATCACAGGTGGAAGTTGGGAATAGGATTATATCACAGGTGGAACTGGGGAATAAGAGGACATCACAAGTGGAACTTGGGATTAGAATAACATCACATGTGGAACTTGGGAATAGGATTATATCACAGGTGGAACTTGGGAATATGATTATATCACAGGTGGAACTGGGGAATAGAATTACATCACAGGTGGAACTTGGGAATAGAATTACATCACAGGTGGAACTTGGGAATAGGATTATATCACAGGTGGAACTTGGGATTAGAATAACATCACAGGTGGAACTTGGGATTAGAATAACATCACAGGTGGGACTGGGGAATAAGAGGACATCACAGGTGGAACTTGGGAATAGGATTATATCACAGGTGGAACTTGGGAATATGATTATATCACAGGTGGAACTGGGGAATAGAATTACATCACAGGTGGAACTTGGAAATAGAATTACATCACAGGTGGAACTTGGGAATAGGATTATATCACAGGTGGAACTGGGGAATAGAAGTACATCACAGGTGGAACTTGGGAATAGGATTATATCACAGTTGGAACTGGGGAATAGGATTATATCACAGGTGGAACTGAGAAGTAGAAGTACATCACAGGTGGAACTTGGGATTAGAATAACATCACAGGTGGAACTTGGGATTAGAATAACATCACAGGTGGGACTGGGGAATAAGAGGACATCACAGGTGGAACTTTGGAATATATTTGGAATTATATTTGGATTATATTACATACGGTACATTACATACCCACAAAATAAGGAAACCACAGACTAGACTGGAACTAAGAAAGAATGCCTTCAGTACTAGGATTGTAAACAACTGGAACTCTCTACCCAAGGATGTTATTGATGCCCCCTCAGTTTCCCACTTCAAGACCCTCTTAGACAGGACGTGGCACTCAGATATATACAATAGTCACTAGTGAGCAATAGCACTTTCCCTATCCCTAGTCAGTTAAATAAACTAAGCTTAGTACAGATGGGAGAACATTACGGCTGTAGCCTCGAAACCCTCCTAATGATGATGATGATGATCATTGATCACCTACAGCCTGTCACAGCCAAGCCAGGGAAGTCCAGCTTGCCTATGAATGAAAAGATTAGAACCACGGTAAGGTAGGCTAAGTCTAAGCTTACATAAGTTTATTATATTTGACATGTTTGAATAGTTTCAGAAAGTTGAGAAACTCTTCTTTTCCGGTGATGAGGACGTGCACGAAACTTTCAATATAAAGCCCAGTCTCTTCCGATCAGAAATATTGTCAAATTTCCGCCAATTTCAAAGTAATTTGTTGAAGACCATGTGCTCCACCATGTGCTATTGTTTGTTTACATTATAAATAGGTCAGTGGGTGGAGAAAACTCGTGAATACAAAGCATTATATTTACCTTGTACCGAATACGATTGTAGAATCAGCCAATGAGCGCGTCGGTGACCGGTTTACCAACATTATTTGAGATGCGGATCCGCGAGAAAATGTTTTTGTCTCAATCGGAAGCAGAAAATGCAACAAATGTCGCTAATATTCACTTGAAAATTATGTTATTTATTCATTTTGATTATAATTAAAGTATATAAACGGCGAGTATCTTCTGAAGCGACGTAAACATTGGACCTATATTCTAATAAGTTCGATGACGTCACACCAAACGAAGTGCCATCTTGTTCCTGATTTACGAGATCGAAGAATCAAAATAAATGTTATATTTACAAAATACAATTCAAAATAGCAATTCACGTTGACAATATATACGGTCAAGGGTAAGTTCAATATCTTTTCTTGTATCAACAGTGAAATTACTGTAAAGTAACTTCCAGGTCACTTTGTACTTTCTTACCGTGATAGACTGGAAGTTTGTCCCTTTGCATACAAAGAACATACCTTTTAAATGAGTCTGGGATAGTTAGTGGCGCTGTATTTGAGGTACATGTACTCCCCATGTTAGATCTAGGCCTAGTCCAAATGTAATTAAGCTTAGATCTGTGACACTTTTTAGGTACTGAAGGGAGACACCATGCCTTTGACATGCAAGACATGTCGTTATCAAACTGCCCTGCGGTACAATTTTGATAGACACATGTCAAATAAAGCACATTTAGACCTGGTAAGCCAAATGCTATTTCAGGTAGTTCTGTTTGTTGAGATATTTTAATGCCTCCCTGATTCTATGCAGTTCTCAGCTCAAGTTAATTGAACAATTAAATATAACTGATTGCTCTAAGACTAGTTTAGCTACAAGACCCTGTGATCCCCCCTTGTACTTGACAACACATCTTCTCAAACTTGTCGTACTGGGGGAGGGTCACAAAGGCTTGTTGCTAGACCAATTTTAGACTAATGCCGAGGGTAAAAATTAGAAGCAATATTATCATAAACATAAGTTTTGATTAAGGTACACCAAAAAGCTTAAATTGATCAAAACATTTTACAATATCAAAATTCAAGAATGATCATTTAGTACAGTATGTACAACTTCAGAGCTGGAAAAACACATTATTATTTTTAACTTTATTTTATTTCAGATTGAGTTGTCAAGACCTAGCCATGGTCAAGTATGGAAGTTGATTTGACCCCTACAGTACATGGGGAAATGGAAGTAGATCAGCTTGACAATAGTGGTGATGTATGTATCTTATATTGTTATTTATAAATTATTATCCCACAGAACAAAAGTTCGAAAGGGATATAGAGAAGCTTATTTTTCTTTATTTTGTTAGTTCCTCCCTGTCATATTTGCTGGTTATTTCTATGATGTAATGTCCAATGAATGACGTTTATTAATATAATATATTTTGTTCAGAGGGATATGCTACTCCCTTGAGTTGCTGTTTTCTAGTTCCAATGTGAGCTAGGAACCATTCATGTGACAATAGTACAATAACGTCATTTTAAAGGGCAATATAGTGAAATATTGGACCAAGGGCCGAAGGCCCAAGGTCCAATATTTCACTATTTTGCCCGCAGAAATGACGTTATTAGTATTATTACCACCGTTTATAACTAAACTATAATTATACGCACTAAACGATATCTCATTTCCCGGGAAACAGTGTCGGGCGGATAATGTCATTATTATTATTGTTAAACAAGGCAAGGAAAAAATATTATTTATTGTTACTAAAATGCACACGGCACTATTTATTATCAAGTCAAATGAAGTTTGGGAATATAGAGAAAGGATCTGTTCGTCCCATACATCTGTCCATCCATCCGTCCAGGCAATAATTCAAATACGCAGCCATTTTGAAAAACATGAAAAGGGGGATTTCAAATACTATATAAAGCAACATACCCATATAACTCTATTTCTATTTTGCTTTTACTTTCAGGAGTTTCTAACAATAGAGGAATTTGTGAGTGATGATGAGAGTTTTGGGGAAGAAGAAGATACTGATGATGATGATGATCATAACTTAAGTGAAGAAATTACAGATATGTTTGAAGGTGTGTAATTTAAGTTGCTTGTTCAATGTAGTATCCTATATAATTATGAGGTTTAGTTTAAGACATTGTGATGGGATTATTTATTGTACATGCACAGTGAAACCTATCCAATCAGAACACTCCTAGGTCTTAAAAAGTGTTAGGACGAGTAGGTGTTCACCCCAATAGGGAGAATGGGAGATAGGCATTTGGTATTGCATTTGACCACTTTTCAGGCATTTGGTATGGCTTTTGGGTGTTATTAAAATGTGACTATCACAATTATAATGATAAAAATAATTGGTATGAGAATGTATTGAAATTTGACCGATTGATAGGAAACATACATACTGACATCTGAGGGTTCAGACAAGGACTCCTGTCAAAAGCTGTATACAGTGAGCCCCCTAAAGATATTGATGATTGTACTCATATGAGACAGAGCATTCAGTCTCAGATATCATATCATATCATGATAAACTAAACTAAATACTGGTTTTTAATTCTAAAAGCACATTCTCAATAACCTAGATGCAAGTAGAAATAATCTTGATTTACGTCATTAAAAATTCAAAATTCAGTCAAAGTAATATCATATTTGAAATCTACATGTAAAATTTCATCTAGAAATGTGGTTTTAAAAAGTGTTTATCAACTTTGAAAAATAAATTTTCTTTGAAAATGTGACTTCTAGCTCGGGGAAATTCCCCATAGACCCCATGCTATAAAATCACAAAAAATGAAATACCTTTTCTTTAAGTGGACAGATAATATTTTGCTTTACTGGACATATTTTCATTAGTATAAGTATCAGACACATAAGGTTTATATGAAAATTGAGCCACTTAAATTGATAATATTCAAGTTTAAGGGAACTTTCTTATATACCTGCCATGTTAATTGACCCGAATCAGCCACCTCGTGGTGAAACTGGTAACTACCTACTCGCATTTGGGTAATTAAGTATTTTTGTTTTAGGTCAGTCCTGGGATCAGAATGGAGACTTCTGGCCATTTCCTTCAGAGGGTTTTTTACTCCTGATCTGCTTGATGAACTCTAGGAGTCACACAATTGTAAGTCTTATCACTCTTCATTTAGTTCATTTGAAGATACAGAATAATTCATTATTAGCAACTTACAATTCAGAGATTATAACAGGTCTGGAAAATGCTACACTTTAGATCTAAAAAGCTACAATATCTTACATGATTTTTGTATCTACTTAAGGAATAAAGAATCATGTATCATTCTATATTAGAATATACTTTAATAGCTAAATTTTACCAATATTTCATTAAAAATCAATTCTTGTCATCAAAATTCCAAGAAAACCATTAATCTGTTCAACTCGAATATTTTACACATGCAAGAGCAGACTAATGCTAAGATTTGATTAGGTTAAGGGCATGCAGTGTAAATTACTTAGCAGCCATTTTGAATTTTTTATTCCATAAATCTTGTCATCAAAATCCAGATGTAAGAGGAGACAAGTGCCAAGGTCTGATTAGGTTTTGGGCATGCTTGCTAAATCACACGGTTACCATTTTGATCTTAAATTAAAGTGCTATATTTATCACTTTATGTCTTGTTCTACATTATAGTCAGAGGGAACCATGAAGATGATCTTACACATCATACAACGTTTTGGAGGAGATGTGCCCTCGCTTAGGAGTTTGAAAAACTTCAAGTTCCCAGGACTGGGCCAATTAGTGAAGCAGGTACAATTTTTTGGAATTTTTAGCTCACATGGTGAGCTTTTGCAACATATCACTTATTTGCTCGTCTGTCAACTATAGTGGAACGTTTTAAAACCTCTATCGATAGGATTAACGTTTTGAATTGTTTACTGAATATCAAATTTCAATACAGAAAATCCCCCTATGACTCCTGGTTCATATAAGCTTAATACATTCAATATAATAAAGTGGCTGTCACCCTTGATTAATCTTTTTAAATTATAATATGTCTTTACTATGAAAATAGCATACTAGAACTGCACTATGAGCATATTCACAAGAACATTTTAATCAAAAAAGTTATTACAGTAAAACCTGTCTAAGGAGAGAACCTTTGGTAGCTCTAAAATGTGTAGGGAGTATTACACTTAGGTTCATTTAACATTAAGTCAGTTGGTCTTAGGACTCAGAAAACTTCTAGAGGCGTTCAACTTTACAGGTCTCACTGTACTCTCCCTCCCAAAAGTTGGAGGGGATATTTGCTTTTTTAAGTTCTTCTAGTGGACCACAAACATGACTCATTGACCACCAGGGTTTTAATTACTGCCTTTCAATTCTTCATTTCAGAACATGCATGGAAATAAACATTTCTCAATGTTGGATATCATGGCAATCTCAAAGATGGCAGTAGCCCACCCAAAAAGTGGTCTCTCTTCATCAGACGGTGAGTTGATAAAAGACTACGGTGAATTGTTGTTCATGATTTAAGTGAGACCATTTTACTTTGTGAACTTCTGATAACATTGTTTGTGACTTAGTTTGATGACCTTGACTGTTGAAAATTAAAAAGCCTGTGTGTGATTAAATACTATAACTAAATTAGAATCTAAAAAATCGATTTGAAAAATCCACTTTTTTACCTTTCAAAGGTCACTGAAGGTCAAGTTAAGGCCAACTCTCAAATCTGAGGTCACATATGGAATCCTGGCAATTTTTAGATGCTTTTAAAAATGATCTGTTTTACAGTTTTTGAGGAATTAAAAAATGATTTGACCTAGATTTTGACCTTGACCTAGATAAAAAATCCTTTCAAGCAAAGTTCAACCAAGGTCCTTGTAGGAGCATGTATGAGTTATCTCAAACCAAGCTAGGAGTATGAGAAAAAGTGCTAGGATGAATAAATACCCGGTAAATATGCAGGGGCCTCAATAATAACTAGAATTTGGAAATTGAACAAGTTCAATTTCAGACTCCAGATGACAGATTCTTTTTAGACTAACTGACTGACTGACTGACTGACCTGACCTGACTGATGCCCTGACTGATAACATGACTGATGACAAGACTGATGACCTGACTAATGACATGACTGGTGGCCTGACTTATGACTTGACTGATGATCTGACTTGTGACCTGACTGATGACTTGACAGATGACCTAACTGATGACTCGACTAATGACCTAACTAATGACCTGACCTGACTGATGACCTATCTGGTGACCTGACTAATGACCTGATCGATGACCTGACCAATGACCTGACTAAAAACCTGACTGATAACATGACTGATGACCTGACTGATAACATGACTAATGACCTGACTAATTTCATAACTGATGTCCTGACTTATGGCCTGACTGATGACCTAACTGATGACCTGACTGATGACCTAACTGATGACTTGACTAATGACCTAACTAATGACTTGACCTGACTGATGACCCATCTGGTGACCTGACTAATGACCTGACCGATGACCTGACCAATGACCTGACTAATAACCTGACTGATAACATGACTGATGACCTGACTAATTCATAACTGATGTCCTGACTTATTGCCTGACTGATGATATGTTGAATTTGGAGATATTTTTGTTTTGACCTACTTTCTGGACGCCATATTTCTAAATCGGTAAGAGTGATCAAAAAACGGATAGCACACTTATGAAAGGACTGTTTCTAAGCTACATGTTGAAAAAAAGATGAAGACGTTTCGATGAAGAACGACAAAGATAATTGACAGTATGTTAAAAATGTAAGATTTGACCTAGTTCTTGACCTTTGACCTAGATAAAAATTTGACCCCGTTTCCCACCAACATGATCAAGTACCTTAATTAATCATATAATTGTCTTGAATAGATACCTTATAGTTGTTGAGAAAACGTGCTCAGTAAAAGAATAATAAAGAAGAAGAAAGAAAGAAAAGAGGCAAAAACAATAGACTCCAGATTATCATCTGGAGTCTAATAAAAGTTGCCAACTGTAGTAGCTTAATTTACACTATTATTATTAATTCTTGCAATTTCAGATCAAACTGTTGAAGTAAAATTGAAAGTCTTCATCGATGACATGTCAACTAATAAGAGTCGACGATGGTCACCGATGGGAGTCTGTCAAATACAGCCATCAGGTACAAATATGAACTCCTGGCAATTTGCATGTGACTTTTTAAGAACTATTTCATTGACATTTCATTGAGGAGGTTTGAACCTCATGTTATTAGAGAGTTGAAGGGAGTTGAATGATGAAGTAATTACTATATATTAATTTGATTTTTGTGAGTAAAGGCAAAACAATAGGTATGTGACAAGCTTACTGACCCGAGATCTACTATCTCCAAAAAGAGCCTTGATATATTGTCAAATATGGAAGTATATTGTTGTGGTCTCAAACTTTTATACGGATGGTGTTTGGAGAATGTGATTACAGGTGGTGACTCTTTGCATGCCTTGTCATCTATACAACCATACCAATTTCAGGTGTTCAGTCGGACTCAGAGTTCATCACTGTAGTATCAGTAAGCACAGATGTCGAAATGCTGCAGATAGTAGATCATATCATCACTGATATCGAAAAAGATGAAAGGTAAGAATAAAGCACAAGTGCCAAAGGGAAAGGACCAAAAGTTGTAATGGAATTTTGCAAGAAAAAGCAAACTCTATGTGCATACAAGTCAAGAAAGACAAACCCCATATATCCCAAAACCATGATCTAACATGAAAAGAAACATTATTATTGCATTAATTATAGGCAATCTCCACATAACTAATAAAACTTAGAAATTTTTTGACAGTAGGCACACTATTAACAAAAAGTTTGACCAATATAGAAATATTCACCTATTGAGTTGCAATGGAATCTATGTAATTTACTTCATGATGTAATATATACAGGTCTGCTATGAACATCTTTCTCATTTGCAAGTTTTGTAAATTAAAACAACATACAATACATTTTTAAATCTCTTTTTATATAACATAGAGTCATAGACTTTTTGGAGTTTTAAATTATAGATACACCGTCTTTGTGTTACTTTGATCATTTTCTGATTATAGGCAATTAGGCTATGTGGCAGCCAGAGGAGAAATCATGGATGTAAAAGTTACATTTGAACACTTCGTCGCTGACATGGCTGAAATGTCAGCAATATGCAGCCACAAGGGAGCTGCTTCAAATTATCCCTGTCCTAAGTGTAAAGTAAGTTATTTTACACAATTGCTAAATAGATAGATCATCTCGTTCTCGTGCACATTGTGAATTTACCGTCAAACTAGAAAAACAGCAACTCCACGAGTAGCAAATCCCATCAAACAAAATATATTTTGATTATAAGTGGCCATCTTGAAAATTCCTTCTTGAGCAGAGCTTGTTTGTCCCTCGACATAAACATTATTTAATGTGAACAATATCTGTCAATTAGCATTTGAGTTATCAAAGATAACGTTCTATTTCTGTTGAAATTCTTTCTCGAACAGAGCTACGGTGTCCCGAGGCATCGTCATATAAAATTTGAACAAAAAACCTGTTCACTGGTATTTGAGTTATCAAAGATTATGCTTTTTACGAAAAAATGGCAGCCATTTTGAAATTCAGCCTCCATCTTGAAAATTCTTATTCAAACAGAGCTACTTTGTCCCTAGGCATCATCATATAAAATTTGGACCAAATCCATTCGATGAACAAAATGCCATTAAAGTGAAGAATATGAAAAAAGAGACTTCAGTGAGAGATTTCAATTTTTATTTCTGAAAACTGTTTTAGATATTCCCCACATAGACAAAAAATTAGTTAATAAAGCTCAGCATGTTATTATTTTTAGGTGAAGAAGGGAGAAACCCAAAAAGGAGAAATGAGGACAAAGGATGAAACCCAATTGAAACTACTAAACTCAGATGGCAGTGAAGGGGTTAAAGTTGGTGAAAACCCTCTGTTTAATCATCAGTTTGACCCTCATAAGTAAGGCATTTTTGGTGGTGAAATAATGTTATTCTCTTAAACTTGTTTTTGGATGGTGTTCCACATTCAGTGGTTGGTGTTCATTGGTTGGTGTTTGTTATTTAAGTCGCTATTTGACATTCAGTGTTTGGCATCTATACAAATGGTGACTTTTCATTTTTTTTAAATTTAGATTTTTATGCCAGCACCAAAAAGTGGTCACATATTGTTATGGTCTCCGTTTTTTTGTGATAGCTACCGGTGGTCGGCGGTTGGTGGTCGGTGTCTGTAACAATTTCTTACAACTTCCAATAACTATTGCAGGTGGTGACATTTTTGCATGTTAATGCCTTGTTAATACTATCTTGAAAAACACATAATATGCTATACAATATGTCATGTTTGTTTTTCAAAATAATAATAAATGTCTTTATCTGAAAAAACATTCAAGACAGTTTTCCCTTTCAAAAGGAAACTCCTGGGTAAATTATACCTTTCTCTGAGCTGCTCACTATTTCACCTTGTTAATACATGTAGTTTGCAAACAGGTGAACAGGTATTGAAACTAAAAACTGAACTGAAAATTATGACCCGTAGACGAAACAAAATGTCCTATTTGGCTTAAGTCTTGTCCACCTATTTAAATTGCTACCCTTACCTATTGCTTGATTCTGGATTAAGCACCTTACTAACCTGTCAACTTAATGTTATTTCTATATTGCAGAAAAGTTCCATATGGGTCTCTTCATCTATTGAAATTGGGACTCATCAAACAACTGTGTCAGAAGATGAAAGAGGGGGATAATATCCTTATGGATTGTTATATTGCCGAGTTGGCTCCGACTCTAGGAAGAAAATTCCTAAAATATATTGGGAGTAGGCAAGGGAAGGACTTTTTGGCCTTTGTAAGTACACATGTCATCATAATCATATTTTTATCAGAACTTCTGGATCAGCATTTGTATATCCACGATAAGTCAATTGAACTATCCTTGCAATGCTTCTTGACCTATTTTCGCAATTTAACAAATGTATTTTTGAAATCGACCTTACAAACATGAAATAATTTTCAAAGTTGCCAAAATATGATGGAATTAAATTATAATCGAAAGTTTTCACTAGAAAACACTGAATGGTGCAATTTTTCATTATATTTTCAGATTCAAATTGCTCCCTTAATAGCACTGTTCACGGGTCTTCCCACAGCAATTTTGAAGGCATGTGCTACCTTAGCAGAAGTAAGTTCAACTTGATTGGGAAATATCAATTTTTATTTTTTATTCCACACTATACATTCAAAATTATCAAAAATTACAAGAGGCAAATAAAGGAATATTAGTAGTGATAAAATAAGTAAAATAACTCAGAATATCTTTTAGATAAGAGATTGTCTTAACTGTCAGAAAAGACATTTATTATGGTGAAAATAGTCCTAGGTTTGTAGAATTGGGATTAACAGCCAAATTACAAAATTGCCAAATAATCTCGGTCTGTGAAGCAGGGAAAAATCTTGACTTAGACAAATTAATGATCGATGGCTTTCATAAACCATACCAACCTCAAAATTTTCAAGGGAGAGGAATTCTAATGTATGTGGACGAAAATTTAGCTTTCAAGCCTAGGGATGACCTTAGCACACTCAATGAGATTGGTTGGTTAGAGATAGTCATTGAACACAAAAAAATCCTCCTAGGCACATGCTATAGGTCTCCATCAAAGACATTGATTGGGGACATTGAACAATTTAATACATTACTAGAGCAAAGTGTAGAAACTGCTATGAGGGAAAGGAAATATGACATGATACTAATTAATGGGGATTTTAATGCCAGGAGCAAATTCTTTTATGATCATGATATTGATAATACAGCAGGGACCAAATTATATGAGACAATGACTAATCTTGGGTTTGAACAATTTATTCATGAACCAACTAGAATAACTGAAAATAGTATATCATGCATTGACCTAATCTTTTCAAATTCTCCAGGCCTCATGATTGGTACTGAAGTCCTAGCCCCAATAGGGGGCAGTGACCATAGTACTATAGTGTGTAATTTACAGCTAGCTACAAGTAAAAATCAACCTAAAACTACTACTAAAACTTGGCAATACAAAGACTGCAACCAGCAAGCCCTGAATAATGATATAAATTCTGTGAATTGGAACAACATTATAAATAATGGCACAATTGATGAGTCAACTTTAAATTTTTCCTCCAAGTTACTGTCTATTTTTGACCATAACATACCTCACAAAATCAAGGTGAGGAAACCAAAAGATTTACCTTGGTTTAATGACGAAATCAAAAAGGCTGTGAATAACCGTGACAAATATTATAAGAAATTCAAAAGAAACAACACTTTGGATTCGAAGTTGAAATATAAAAATAAAGTTGAAATGTTGAATAATCTTATTAACAAGGCTAAACTTAACCATGAACAGGAAATTTGTGAAAATCTTCACACTTATTCAAGTGGGGAACATTTTTATTGGAGCGCTATTAAAAAATTACTTGGAAATAAATTTTCCTCTGGAATTCCAACTCTAAGAAATTCATCTTTGACAAACATATGTAGTACAGATGAAGAAAAACGAAACGAATTTTTGAAATTGTTCGTAGGTAAATTTCACTTTGATAATACCCGCGACACAAATGCATTACCATTTTTTCCAAATAGAACAAACAACCTTTTGACTTGTAATTTAATCACACCATCGGAAATAAGAACCCTCATAGCTGACCTTGACACATCAAAAAGTGAGGGTTTGGATGGTATTACAAATAAAATGCTCACTATGAGCATTTTATCTATTGACAAACCATTAGCCTTATTGTTTAATAGAATTCTAACTGAAAACATTTTTCCAAGATCATGGAAAGATGGAATAATAATTCCAATCTATAAGAATAAAGGTGATAAATCTGATATTACAAATTATAGACCTGTCACATTACTTAGTAATATATCCAAATTATTCGAAAAAGGAGTGCATCAACAGATGATGAAGTTCCTTTTAGATAATAAGTTATTATATGAAAATCAATCAGGTTTCCTGCCTGGTCACAGCACTGACAGTCAGCTACTAAGTATTACTCATTTTATAATGAATGCATTTGAAGACAAAGCGGATGTACGGGGAGTCTTTTTGGACCTGGAGTCTGCGTTTGATAAAGTCAGACATAATTTACTTATCCACAAGCTAAAATCTTATGGCTTCAATGATAACCTGTTGAAACTTATGAAATCCTACCTAGACAATAGAAGAGTATGCACACGCCTTAATGGATCTTTATCCGAATTCTCTGAAGAAAATTTTATAAACTCTGGTGTGCCTCAAGGCTCTATTCTAGGCCCCATCCTATTTCTGCTATTTATAAATGATCTCCCAGAGGTCATCCAATCAAAATGTTATATTTATGCTGACGATACTTCTATATATGTCCCCGTTCACAAGTTTGAAAATGTTTTAACATCAAATACATTATTACAACATGATCTAGACAATGTCTATGACTGGTCAAGGGTTTGGGGGCTTAACTTTAAGCCCACGAAAACCAAAGAGATAATTTTTTCCAAATCTATTCAAAATGTAAGAAACTTTCCTATTTTGACCTTGAGCAACAGAATAATTGAAAGAGTAAATTATCATAAACATCTTGGAGTTATCTTAGATAACCACCTTGACTTCAAAGAACATATAGCCCAGTTAAAAGTCAAAATTGATAAAATGCTAAATCCACTTACAGCATTGAAAAATAAAATTTCATCCAAACACCTTGAAAGAATGTACTTATCGTTCATTTTGCCAAAATTAGAATTCGGATCAATCTTTTATAATTGTTCACCACATTATGCCCTAAAAACCTTGGATAGGTTACACTACAGAGCTGCCTTGTTAGTCTCTGGGGCCATTAAGGGCTCCTCTGAAATCAAAGTCTTAAATTCACTTAACTGGAAGACACTAAGTCAGAGAAGAGAAGAAAAAATGGCAACTCTAATGTATAAGGTATCCAAAAACATGACTCCTAGTTACGTACAATCTATATACAATGAACTTAAAAATCCAGGTACAGAGCGTGTACTTCGTGCCCAGCACGAATATAATATTCCAGCAAAATCTCCAATGAAATTTACAAACTCTCCTGCCATAGCACCGATAAGAATATGGAAAATGATTTCACCTGAAGTTAAACGCAGCCCCTCAATATCAGCCTTCAAGTAAAGGTATAAGAAAACCAAATATAACCCAAACCCTAGGTCTGTGTTGACAACAAAATTGAACTTAAATCGATCTATTGAAATTAAACTAAACCGTTTAAGAGCAGACCTAGCACTTAAATCAGACTTTTTTAGGCACAATTTCAACAACTATCCAGACCCAAGTTGCCCTTGTGGACATGCCCAGCAAACCAAGTCCCATTTATTACTTTACTGCCCTCTATCAACTGGAACAAGGTCAATCTTTACCCAAAAACTACAAGAGCTGCAAAATTTTAACTTTAGAGAATTTGCCAGTCTAAATAGTGTAGATAAAGTCCACACCATACTTTTTGGTGATCATAAGTTCTCAGATAAATGTAATGCTGATATTATGAACCTTACGGCAAATTTTGTTGATTCTATCATTTAGCATTAGCCTCAACATTTCATCACCATCATCATCACTATTGTTATCATCATCTCAACTGCGGCCACTGAGACTCTTAATAACAATACATTTACAATACATGTCTGAAACCATTTATATCAACTTTATTTTGCTACTTTTATTTAATAGGGAGGCCAACAATGTAATTTTTACCTCGGCCTTCCTAGTATGTTAAATATTGTTATATAAAATTATGCAAAGAAATAAAACTTAACCTTAAAAAAAAAAAAAAAAAAAAAAAAAAAAAAAAAACATTTATTAAGAAGAACAAAAATGTATTTGAAAATGATAGCATACCATTTTTGGCAACATTATTTAACTTGTTTTTGTAGTTATCAAAAATGGTGATGTGCAAAAAAATTGGATCATCTCCATCAGATATCGGAAAGAAGGGGCATGAGTACATGCAACGGGTGATATCATTAGGTGATAAACAGATGCTATCACCCAAGTTACATGCCTTGGAATATCTAGTGAGTATACATAAAGTATGGAATTCAAAATAATTCTAATGTATATACTCTAAGAGCGAGGAGGAAAATTCTTAATAAATGGAGTATAGTTGGTTTGGCAGCATTTTCAGTTAGAAGGAAGTCTTGGATGAAAATTCTACTAAGGTGATAGCTTCACAGAGTGGTACATAATTCTTTTTATTCAGGGATTAGCCCCCCACCCCCCAAAAAGACCCCACCCAGGGAAAATATTTTTTTCATTCTCAATAACTTTAGATATCTTGATGTTTGTAAGTTACATACATAGACATTATATATATGAATCATTTGCATAATAAATAATGCCAGTCACTCCTACAGAATTTGAATAATAGTACAAAGTATGTACCCCAGGGGGCAAATTCGTGACCCATTTTCTTACTTTTTAGAGCCTCACTTTTGATTCAGACACTGGAAGACATTGGAAAAATTCATGTGAAGTGCTCAGTAGCAGGGCTATAATCCCTGAAAGGTTCAAACTAATTGAATCAGTAGGAGCCGGGAAAAAAATTGTTGATTTTTTGAAAATTTTGACATTTTTGAGAGGGGTGATTTTGGGTATGACTATAGCTGATGCCTATGGTTTCTATATCTATCCCTCTTTGATTATAAATATGGTTTTGAAGTATTGAACTAAGATGTAAAAGATAATTAAAATGGGTTTTAAGGAAGTTTAAAGTTTTAAACAAGTTCAAAATTCGAAGAATTGTAAAATATCAGGTCTGAATTTACGAATTTCAGGTAAGACCTTGGGTGAGCCTTAGATTTTTTACATCCGTCCCACTTTGATGATATTTATAGTTTTGTAGTGTGGAACTTAGATGTACAAAATAATTAAGATGGTTTTTAAGAAGGTTTAAGGGTTTTAATAAGTCCAAAATTTGAAGAATTGTACAATATCAGGTCTGAATTTGCGAACTTCAGGTAAGACCTTTGATTAGCCTTATATTTTTTACATCTGTCCCTCTTTGATGGTATGTATGGTTTTGTAGTGTGAAACTAATATGTAAAAAATAACTGAGATGGATTTGAAGAAGGTTTAAGGATTTAAATGAGTTCAAAATTTGAAGAATCGTACAATATCAGGTCTGAATTTACGAATTTAAGGTATGCCCTTGGATGACCCTTATGTTTTTTATATCTGTCCCTCTTTGATGATATGTATGGTTTTGTAGTGTGACACTAAGATGTAAAATATAATTAAGATGAATTTTAAGAAGGTTTAAGGATTTTAACCTCTTG